GGATATGTACTACCTATTTACCCACCAAACATGTTTCAAATACTCAGCAACACAAATCCCCTCAGGGGTCAAGATTCTCATTCTGGATTTTCAGGGATTTGTCACAGATTTCAAGCTATTTGGGATGGGTGGCCTGACTGGGGTGGATGTGTTACTTAGATTTTCATATCTTATAAGTTTCTATAAATGTATAAGTACGAGCAGTTTATTGAGACTTCTGACTTCTACCGTCGTAGATTCTACAATGATAAATATTGTAACGTACGTTCGGCGCGCAAAATCCACTACAAAATCCACTACAAAATTCAGGGAAACGTCTTCTGCTGGCATTAATCTAGCGCGCGAGTACGATATTTGTTGACTGTCTCGCGCGTTTCCCAAATCACAGTCGATCAGCTAGATCATATATTCATTAAGACCAAGAGGGAATGCTGTCCCGCCAAGCGTCTCTACATTAATCCTCCAGGAGAAGTAAATCATTTTTGACATCGGTGGACATGTCAGAATCAACATAATCTACAATCTGCATGGAAGCATCTGAGAAGACGTGACCAGGGATATTAAAATGTTCATATAAAAATGTGGATGATTTGGCTTTGACACAATTTCTGTGGCCATTGACTCTTTTATGAAGTGGTTGAGTTGTTTCTCCAACATATTGTTTTTTACAGGTAGAACAGGTAATAACATAAATAACATTATTAGTTTACAATTAAATATAAAATTTGTATGTCCAAAGATAAAATCATTATTAAAAGTACTGCTCCTAAATGTATTTACAGGATTAAAACTGTTGCAAGTGAGACAACCTCTACCATTGCAACATCTAAAAGTGCTAGAAAAGACATTTCTAGGGGTTACCCATTTATTTGAGGATTTTGAGAAAAATTTACCATTACGTTTAAGTCAAGAAGGTAACATCATCCCTTTCGGCGTTTCCGCCTAGACCCAACGACTCGAGATAGGCCAAGGACAACGGGTCGGACATCAACCTATTGTCATGGGGCTGCCATGATTGGGCGGGCGTTAGATGTCATGAACCTAAATAGTTCTCCCACCGACGCAGTGTAGCCTGGCGAGATTCTTCGCGACCATAAAAATCTCTTAGAACCAGATCTTGCACTGCCGCTGTTTCTCGTACCGTAGCATGGCGGACAGCTCACGCCAGAAAATGAAATAAACAGGTAAATACAGGATAAATCAGGAGATGTATGTACAACAACAAGACTTCAAGGAGGGCGCCCAAGAAAACAAAGATCAACCAAATCTCGGAACCAATGGCCGGGAGGGATATAAATGTAATTATAGAGCAATATCAAGAAAAGCTATCAATTATGTATCCAACGGGGCGGAAGAACCGACCACCAGTATATATTCACCCAGAATTTCAAATTCCATATAATGTGACAGAATTTACATAATTTCCCAATATAACCAAGTGCATGTATTTGCTAACTTTTCAAAACAACATATTTTAGGGCTATGATTGGCAGAAGAACCATCAAATAATGAGTTGAAAGGGTTTTGAGGACATCTCACAGTAGAAAAGAGGTCTCGTATTCTGAGTGTGACAAAGTTTACGAAATATTGCCTTAAAGCCGTTCGATCCGTGCCCTTTAACCGATGTTGTATCATAATTGTTAGATTGACCTAATCTACTATATTTCCGACCAAGGAATGATAATTGGGCAGCTATAGTAAACAATGTCACAAAAATGTGACTTTTTTTACATAATAGTGCCTAAAAGCAATACATTTTCTTTCTGAGCAGTGCATATGGGAGTATGGGTCACGTGGCTAATGTTCAGAACTTATGAACACGCTAGATTAATAGATGCTAAAATTAAGCCACTATCGTCGAAAACGCTATTTTAGAAATTTACCAATTTCCTCAAATTTCAATGAACGTGTCCATGTATTGTTTTGATGTTTTGGTTGATTTCTCAGTTTTCTATACCGGGTTTTTATAGCGTGCATTTTTAGCCTCCCCAAAGTGCCCAGAATAGAGAGGTTTTACTGTATAATACGACTTACGGAATGAATAAAGGTCAGGCTGCATTCAGTACGGGTTTTAAGGTTTTAAACAGTATAATATTATGTACTTGATTTTGATACAGTATTATAATTTATCAGGCAAGTTATCATGTAACATAAGCTAATACTGCCCTATTTACCTTAGCAGCTCAGCTACCTGCCGTAACAGCTCACCTCGGAACTGGTAGTTCCACTGGAGAGCCTTTAAGTACTGGTGGGATTTATACTGCTCACTGGAGAGCCTCTCAGCTGTATTGGTGGGATTTATACCGCTCAGCCCTAACCAAACATTTTAATAGTTAGTTGTTCTTATATTTGCCATAATAGGATGAAATATATACAATTCATATTTTGGGCGTTTTTAACCACTTGTTGTAATGTTTTTAATTATTTAATATCTTAACTTAACTAAATTTTTATTCAGATCGAATTAACAAATAATATTTGATAATTTATTTGATAGTTTAGTCTGATATTGATATTGACTATATTGATATTGTTATTATTGAATGAAGTTAACTCCAGACGTACATAATATTACTTCTTTTAACAAAGGGACTTGGAGTATAAACGACCAAGTTAGCATACATTTTCAACCAACCAAGAATTCTGGAGGCAAAGGTGGGTGCGTAAACTTTATGGTCTGTACTCTCCGATCCTGTATCACCCAGGATTCTTTTCGACGTTTTTGGTAAAAGGTATATACCTTCTAGTCAATCTCTTGCTACTCCAAGTCCCCCAAGATTTCTAAACTAAAGTTCGTCCTAGTTATATTATATTATATAAAATATATTTTTTGTTTGCTGTAACTGATACTAAATAAAATTGTTGTTTTCCTGAAATTGTTGTTTTCCTGTGTTCGATAGGATTATAGGAGAAGAACGCACACGGACCTAGATGAGTCACCAATAATAATTGAAAATAAACACAATTTAATAAAAGATAAACTTAAGAAATATTATCGAATACTATATTACCCAGCGATCACCGACTCAGTTATTAGTCCGAGACGAAAGGGAAACTCGTTAGCTTTTTGTGTTAAAAGCGATTTCTCGACTGTTATCACCTCTCTAGATAATGCTTAAAACATTTGGCCACTATTGCATTTTTGTAATAAATGCAATAGGGACGTTTTCGGCTCCATCCTTTTTCAGGGTTCCGCAGTCACTCGAATTTTTGTATTTCAACCAAGGAAGGGGGGGGGGGGGGGGGGGCCAACCATATTAAAGTATATTAAAGTATATCCCCGGGTCAAAATCGGAAAAAAGCCTACATTTTAATATACTTTAATATACCTACAATTAGAAGATTTCTATTCTTCGTTAAGATTTACATGATGAACTATATTTTTCACTCAGATTCGCAAGATAAGCCTGTTTTAGGACTAGTACATGAATTTCCATCCAGATTGGTCAAAAATTGGCTGAGCTATGAGCTTAAAAAAATATGCCCATATTTGGGCATACGCTTTTGCCCAAATTCGATTTTGCCCAAATTCGATAAAATTTCAATATTTTTTAATGAGACTAACTCTATGTGAAATATATAACTCAGTGTTTGTTGAATATAGTGGATACTAAGTAAAAAGACCTCCATGAACAAAATTTGGAAAATTGCACATAATATCTCGGTTCGGAATGCTAGCCAAAATGACTTTATTAAAATTGAAATAACTCCATCAGTTTTCAATATTTTTTCAAGAACTTTTTGGAATCGATTAAGAATTGCATTTCAAGCTTATTTTAAGCAACAATTTTTGATGTAGGCCTCCAAGGAGATAGGGATATATTAAAGTATATTAAAGTATATTAAAGTATATTAAAGTATATCCCCGGGTCAAAATCGGGAAAAATCCTACATTTTAATATACTTTAATATGGTTGGCCCCCCCCCCCCCCCCCCAAGGAACGTCGTAGAGACTATTCCGATACACCAAAATGTGCCTAATAGCCATATTTATCTACATTTTAAGGAGCAATATATACTTTAATATACTTATTTTCGGAAATGTGGCCGAAAAACGGATTTTTGCCGAGGGAACAATGACAATACTCACAAATGGGCTATTGGACTGTTAACTAGAAAGGTCCTAAACATTGTATTTCTAACATTGTGTCTATTTCTTTGTAACCTGATTGAATAAGTTCGGAGAACTTGTCGGGGTAGATGTGTCTATTTCAATTTTCATCCGATAATCAATTTTAAAAAGATATTATACGCATTATATTTCATTGGATTTTAATTCCAGGACGAATTATTATTTAGCATGATTACTATTACATCATAAGACTTGATTTTAAAGACTCCGAATCTACTCGTTTTCATTATCAGCACATTCTAAAATCAAGACTTTTTTTTGGAATGTAATAATGATTATAAAAACGTGGTTCTAATTCATGGCTGAATATTTGCTCAAAATAATTTTCACCATAGATCCAGTCTAATCAATTTTTGAGGTGATTTTTAAGACTATGGAAACTCATTTCTGCAGAGAAACGCCTGATACGAATTGATTCACAGATAATTCAATGATTTCATTATTTGCTCAAACATTATTCCTAATTCATGGCAGAATAATTGCTCAAAATATTTTTCACCATGGATCCAGTCTGATCAATTTTTGAGGTGATTTTTGGGACTATGGAAATTGAAACTCATTTCTGTAGAAAAACGCCTGATACGAATTTATTCACAGATAATCCCATGATTTCCACAAACATTATTCCTAACTGTAAACACCCAAAATCCAAATCATCTCAACTGTAAGTGTAAACAGTGCTCTTTCGCTTCGCCAAGAATTATTCTTTAAAACCGTTAAATTGTACAGTGTACAGCAATATTGTACAATAAAGCAATGTTAGAACAAAGCATTAAAACGATTTCACTGGTTACAAATTAGCATAATTATAAAAATATAAAAAGATAAAGGTAGGTAAAAACCCCTCTATCTTCAACGTTCTTCTCAGGACTCAGGGAACTCAGATGGAAAACCGCAAAAGGCTTAATCTGCGTTTTAGTAGTGATCCAGATTCCAGACTTCAGATTCCGGTACAACAGGATTGAGGATAGTGATAACAGCAGCCTTGTAGATGCGGATCTTGGTTGGTATTTTTATAGTTTTGTTGTTCCATGTCTTCCAGAAATTTGCGAGAAAGTAAGTTAATCGACTGAAAAAAAATGTTTCAAGTTTCAGTATAGGGAAGTGGGTTTAAGTTTTCTAAAACCCTTGTTTTCATCCATAAAGATATTTGCTATTGAAGTTAGTGCTTTTTTGAAGAATCTATATACTTATCATCTTAATAATCTCAAGAAATCCGTGTGTGTGTGAGTGTGTGAGTGTGTGAGTGTGTGTGTGTGTGTGTGTGTGTGTGTGTGTGTGTGTGTGTGTGTGTGTGTGTGTGTGTGTGTGTGTGTGTGTGTGTGTGTGTGTGTGTGTGTGTGTGTGTGTGTGTGTGTGTGTGTGTGTGTGTGTGTGTGTGTGTGTGTGTGTGTGTGTGTGTGTGTGTGTGTGTGTGTGTGTGTGTGTGTGTGTGTGTGTGTGTGTGTGGCTTTCTTTTGGATGAAAAGTTGGCAGTAAGAAACCGGAATGGTATAGTTTTGTACAACGACCAATCATATGGTTACCATGGTTACCAGTTTTGATTTCAATTACTCTTATTTTGTTACTTTTTTATACTTTTCAGACTCACTGAGTCAAACTGCCATAGGGCAACTTATCAAGAGTTTATGACTGCCGAGTGCTGATAAAGATTTCAAATTAAATTACTCACGCTAGATACAAGACAATCAAAATATGATTTACTCATGATTTGTGAGTATCATCCATGGTCAGCGAGTATTGATATCCACATCAGACGTTAGCTTCTTTCATCTCTTTGTTTGAGTTAGAGTAATTGAATTACGATTCCGACTATACTGATTACTGTTCACCGTACAAATAAAAATATTTCACGGTCTCTTCTGCAAGCATTCCACTCTCTCCGCGGAACACAGCAGGAATGTGCCTGTGTGATTAGTCCTTTAGTCGTGAGAGCGTATGACTATTGTACCACGTACGCACTGTATATAGTTTCCTTCAACACGGGAGATGCTAGTTTTTTACACAACTTTCATAATCATAGACACTGATCTACAGATATTTTGACATTTTTTACTGCTTATAACGACGGCCTTTCTTGCTCATTGTATGAAAAATTAGTTTACAAATTATCTGTTAAAATTTTAAAAACGCCAAAACAAAGATGACAAAATTTATATTTTTGTTGGTTTTGAATACCTTCATTAAACGTTGTCTGTTAATAATTATGTCCGTTCATTTGATGTCCTGCAAATAAGGTCCGGTAAGGTACATTCGATCCGCGCCCCTTTTGTGTTCGTAAAATAGTTAAAATAGTTAAAAACTTGCAGTGATTGTAGCAAGATTCTCTTATTCAGCATGAGTTATTCCAGGGTCTCCTGTCGACAAACTTACATTATTTTAGCGCCCACGTGCTGCAACTTCACGGAGAATCAGCTACATTGTATCGTTAAAGTCATGACAGTAGAAATTTTAAACGAAAACTTGGTCATTGCAAATCCTGTTTTAAACGTTGAAGACTTCGATGATTCTGAAAGTGAATCTGCTCAAAGCAAACATGGATGGCAAATATACGGTTAGCAAAATTGAAAGTATTTACATTACTTGCTGCAGTTTTTTAGTTAATTAAATAGAGTTAAATTATTATTATTTTTGCTATTGAATATGACATTTCCAAAGCGAAATGATTTTAAATAAGCTGACGATAAATGGTAATTTCAGACTCTAGCCTGACATTGGAAGTTACTGTTTTTGGTGAAACTTTAGAAGGGAACGATGAGGGCAAACCGGTGTCATCAGAACTCAGAAGACGAGGAACGTTCGGAGGGTAAATGTTTAGTTTCTGTTCTTTTCCGCTCACGAGAATATTAATACTCAATACTCCCAAGTCCGTACAATTAGAAATATTTAGGATTACCTACAATTACTAATACTATAACCTTTGCAGAAATGACAACATGCCATCAGATGACTATAGTGATCTTTGCTTGCCTTGGAATGTACGTCGTATTTATGACCCGACTGTATCCGTCCGGATTTTATTTAGACTTCCTTAAACAATCTGGCTTCAGTACCATAATAGGTAAGTGAGATTACATTTACAGTGCTGGCAAGCACGACCGCCGCCATTAAATACTCACTATACTAATTACCCCCTATACTATTATACCCCCTTTACTGCATTTTTCTGGTATTAAGACTTATCGAAAGTAGTTCAGCAGGCATATTTTAAGGTCAAAATATTCTAATTCAATGTCAAAGATGGCAGAAATTAAAAATAGTCATGTGGAGGTTTTTAAGAAATTTGCGAGAAAGTAAGTTAATCGACTGAAAAAAAAAGTTTCAAGTTTCAGTATAGGGAAGTGGGTTTAAGTTTTCTAAAACCCTTGTTTTCATCCATAAAGATATTTGCTATTGAAGTTAGTGCTTTTTTGAAGAATCTATATACTTATCATCTTAATAATCTCAAGAAATCCTTGTGTGTGTGTGTGTGTGTGTGTGTGTGTGTGTGTGTGTGTGTGTGTGTGTGTGTGTGTGTGTGTGTGTGTGTGTGTGTGTGTGTGTGTGTGTGTGTGTGTGTGTGTGTGTGTGTGTGTGTGTGTGTGTGTGTGTGTGTGTGTGTGTGTGTGTGTGTGTGTGTGTGTGTGTGTGTGTGTTTGTGTGTGGCTTTCTTTTGGATGAAAAGTTGGCAGTACGAAACCGGAATGGTATAGTTTCGTACAACGACCAATCATATGGTTACCAGTTTTGATTTCAATTACTCTTATTTTGTTACTTTTTTATACTTTTCAGACTCACTGAGTCAAACTGCCATAGGGCAACTTATCAAGAGTTTATGACTGCCGAGTGCTGATAAAGATTTCAAATTAAATTACTCACGCTAGATACAAGACAATCAAAATATGATTTACTCATGATTTGTGAGTATCATCCATGGTCAGCGAGTATTGATATCCACATCAGACGTTAGCTTCTTTCATCTCTTTGTTTGAGTTAGAGTAATTGAATTACGATTCCGACTATACTGATTACTGTTCACCGTACAAATAAAAATATTTCACGGTCTCTTCTGCAAGCATTCCACTTTCTTCCGCGGAACACAGCAGGAATGTGCCTGTGTGATTAGTCCTTTAGTCGTGAGAGCGTATGACTATTGTACCACGTACGCACTGTATATAGTTTCCTTCAACACGGGAGATGCTAGTTTTTTACACAACTTTCATAATCATAGACACTGATCTACGGATATTTTGACATTTTTTACTGCTTATAACGACGGCCTTTCTTGCTCATTGTATGAAAAATTAGTTTACAAATTATCTGTTAAAATTTTAAAAACGCCTAAACAAAGATGACAAAATTTGTATTTTTATTGGTTTTGAATACCTTCTTCGGTTATATTAAAAAAACGGTAAGAGTTACGGGACTGGTTTTTTCGGTATAGTGCCGACAAAACTCTGAAGAAGCCAATAAGCAAATTTTTAAAAAATCGGCCAATGGTAAGTGGTTTAATTGATGGTTTTGTACCAAAAATGGCTTGAACAGCTAAATCAAGAAAACGGTAATAGTTACGGGGCTCGCTCTCTCTGCATATGTTTGCAGGGTCTGTTTGGACTGCAGAGAGAGAGTTCATATTTTCATACGACAAGGTTATGCGTGTTTTCAAATATAATAGGCAGGTGTGGTGCGGAGTTAACAAGGGTTAATTTCTAAAACGATTTAAATAAAAATGGAAAGTGGTTCAAAACGGGAGTGATGAGGTATAATAGTCGGTGTTCGGACCTTATGATCATGGAATGTGGTGCCTAATAATGACTTAATTATCCACGATAAAGAACTGATTATGAGATTATTCTTTAAGATACTATTGGATACGTGAGGGTACTCCGAATAGAATTGCTCACCTAATGCGGGTTTTGAATCAGCGGGTAATTACTCCTACCCTTTTTAACTGCGGCAGTGCAATCCCGGCCGGGCTACACTAGCATATTATATAATCTCAATAAAGCTGTGTGTGTGTGTGGGAAATTTCCGAGCAGCTTTATTAAGAAAATGGTAAGAGTTACGGAACTGATTTTTTTTTCCGTTATATAGTTTTGACAAACCTCTGACGAAGCCAAATGATTGATGTTTTTTAAATCGGCCTGTGGTAATGCCAATGGTTTTAACAAAAAGTGTCTCATATACTCAACCCCTCTCCCACTATATATTACTGTTATATAGATACTTGAGGAGCGCTCAGAATTAAATACATTCATATGCGGCCGATTTTTACTGATCGTGTTCATACTTTTGTACCGTTTTAACTAAAAACACCCATTTTGCGATTTAGTATTCTCTGGTGTTGGGCCATCCCTTCGGTTGCGGAGCTCAGTTCTGCGTCCTATGGGTCTATATTGTGCATTAAACTAGTTTAGTTTTGCTAAAATCATTGAAAATTGCTATTTTTACGATTTTCATCAACTTTGGCGTCCCGTTGAGATCCAAGTTCTTTTTGAAATCTTTTGAAACTTCGCATACTTATTAAATAATATGTATGAGAATACATATAAAATTTCAGAGAATATAGATATGGGTCAAACTTAGATTTCACGTAATGTTCGTATAATTTCATCAATTACCGAGGGTAATTGCCACACCCTCTTTTCTCTTTTATCACCATAAAGTGAGAATTTTAGTGAAGAAATCTTTAGTGAAAAATCACAGTGAAGAAATCACAGATCAAGTGCCGAGATCATGTATCCGCCAGATCTTAAAAGGTCATAACTCGGTTTAGTTGTAAACAACCGACTTGAAATTTTAGGAAAGCACTTCAATTATCAAACCACATGTGTCTGGAAATTTAAAATTGGAGTTCCTAATTTAAAACGTTCTCACTTTATGGCGACAAAAGAGAAAAAGAGGAAGTGGTGTGCCACACCCTCTGTAACTGATGGAATTTTACGAAAATTTCAAGAAATTCAAGTTTGACCAATATGTATATTCTCTGAAATTTTCAAGCAATTCTAATACCAATAACGCGAGTTATTAAAGGGTTGCGTGTGGGTATTTACTTTTGGGCCACCCTGTAATCTGTATATTTTATAAACCCCTCCGGGATAGAATAAGATTCTGATAATCCCGGCTCCCGCTAAATAGATTCTGATAATCCCGGCTCCCGCTGTTAGTTTTTTCCCGCTGAATAAATAACCCCGGCACAGCTTTTATAATCCCGCCCCGCTAATTTGGCTCAACAAGATTTGTTTTGTTTTGATATTCCATGAGACCGCGTACTGTCACGTGTTTTGATGACGTGTATCACGTGACTAACTACTACGACGCGCATTGGTAAAAAATGTCACGTGACCTATGGCTTAACGTAAGAACTATAAATACACTCGATCTACGTATCGGTCTAATTGCAGGCCTGCAATTCTTGAAATTTTCGTAAAATTCCATCATGATGGAATTTTACGAAAATTTCAAGAAATTCAAGTTTGACCAATATGTATATTCTCTGAAATTTTCAAGCAATTCTAATACCAATAACGCGAGTTATTAAAGGGTTGCGTGTGGGTATTTACTTTTGGGCCACCCTGTAATCTGTATATTTTATAAACCCCTCCGGGATAGAATAAGATTCTGATAATCCCGGCTCCCGCTAAATAGATTCTGATAATCCCGGCTCCCGCTGTTAGTTTTTTCCCGCTGAATAAATAACCCCGGCACAGCTTTTATAATCCCGCCCCGCTAATTTGGCTCAACAAGATTTGTTTTGTTTTGATATTCCATGAGACCGCGTACTGTCACGTGTTTTGATGACGTGTATCACGTGACTAACTACTACGACGCGCATTGGTAAAAAATGTCACGTGACCTATGGCTTAACGTAAGAACTATAAATACACTCGATCTACGTATCGGTCTAATTGCAGGCGCTGGCAAAACTCCAGCACACTACATTACTTAAACTCTTACATTAATTGGACCAGTTCCAAAACTTGTCTCGACGGTTACATTTGATTTTGTCCGGTTCGGTTAATTTTGTCGAGTTTGATATAAGCCATGTATTATAGTCGTCTACTTTGATGAACTTCATGACACGATATCATTATTAGCTTTTATCGCTTGTCAGGCTTAACTCGACGCCCCTTATCGATATTCATATTCATTCAACGTTCTGACTGAGGAATAGTGTTTAGATATAACGCCAATTTCAAAAGTCATAGTACCTTAGTTGTATTTATTTGGAAGTCCCCAATTCCATTTCATATTTTCCATAATGATCTCATATAGCTAGAATTAAGAGTAAATGTCAAATTTGTTGGTCCTAGCACTAACCCGGAGGGGTTTATAACACATAACACCGGCACGCTTAAGTTATATTAAAATAACCCCTCGTGCTAAAGCACTTCGGGGTTATTTTCATAATAATCCCTCGTGCTTCGCACTCGAAATTATTATAAATTTTTCCCGCGCGTCGCGGGAAAAATTGAAATATAATCCCTGCGCATGCCGGGGTTATGTGTGTTATATACCTCCGCTGTGTTTTATATTTGAGAGTTGTTGCTTTGCAAATGGCATACTGTACCTACTGGTTCGAGGATTCCGTCGCCAAAATTCGGACCCGGCTCACGTCCGTTATGTGAACACATGCCGAGAGCTCAAACAGTTCTTAATATACTTCATAATACAGTTACACAGCTACTTATTACTAAACTGTCATGTGAACCCTACCCAGGTTCTTGGTTGTCCGGCTGTTAGGATGGTTATAATATGGATCACATCACAAATGATACGTCACTGATTGGGCCATGTGATGTGATACCTTTGGGAGGCCGGAATGAGAGGTTCCTAGTTGTCGGTCACCGCTAATTTTTTCAAAGACGGTAGGGTGTCAAATATTGCATCTGATATGAAAACAGATTAGAAATGACGAAAATATCAAGCATTTTGTGTATCCCGTTAACAAAATTGACTGGGTGATTATGTGACATCGTGACACGACACCTTAATTGGGCAGCCTTAACGATTCCAATAATGTTTAACGGGGTAGTTAATGGGCCGGTGACCTTATCACGTGATTAGGTAAAGCCAATCCCCTGATCACACGTAATCAATAAACTCATTTTGTTTCGTATCTCGGTCATCTGAGAAGCTACAATTACAACTATCCAAACTATCAAATAAATGCGAAAATAAACCGTTATTTGAAAAATATGAACACAAGTATTTGTAGATTTGACAAATTCCTCGAACCAGTGGTAGTAATATAAGTCATACAAGAAATAATTATTTCAATTGGGAACTTAGTGACTTTAAAAAATTTACGGTCGCGGTGATTCAATATTGGATGAGCACGCAATTAAAATTCGTAAGCCGTGAATGAATGGAAAAAGCGACCAACCGATTTCATTATCTGTATCATTTTGTATTTGCCGACAGTCATTTAAATTAATATCATTTACTTTTGTTCGGGAAAGAGACACTGGTAGCGGTCCACTCTACCCAATTATGGGTTTTGGTCAAATTAAATAATACATTTTCAGTATATCCATTTTCCAAACATAAAAATGTTCGCATCACGTGTTAAAGCTGTAATTCCAAAGAAGATGCATTGAGACATTAGAGAGTTTAAACTCAAGTTAAATTATATAAAACTAAAACTAGAAAACCTATAGTATATCGGTATTTCAAGAGTTTGAACAATTATATAAAACTAAAATAAGAAAACAATCACTGTTTTTTTCAGGCACGGTTTCCATTTCTGCAGCTCTGATAACTTCGCCTGCCGGCCCATACATCTACAACTATCTGCCAAAAACCATCAGAAACGCGTCCCTTTTCAAAAGATATTTTTGTGGGAGCCTTTTGAACCTAACCTGTTCCTCCATGATGGCTTTGATTCAAGTATTCATTGATATGAACTGTGATGCTCCTGTTATTTTCGTGACAATAGCATTACTGAGGGGTATTCAAGGGTTTGCAATGGGCATAATGCATGTGTTTGTCCAGGTGAGGAATTATTCCATCTGCAGCCATATGTTTTTTTCTAATTTTTATTTTAAACTATGTCAAACATATGAGTATTGCTGATTGCTGAAAGCACAGTGTAAGGCCTACACGGACCGCCTCTAACTAGCCAATCCCTGTTTACATGCCGTGTAGCAGGGGACTAGATAGAGCTAAACTAGTAAGCGGGGCATAGCCAATACACTATACTATGATTTGCAGCTTCCAAAAATTGCAAATATAGATTTATCAATTTTTCTATCTTGCAGGGACAGTTATTAAAAATAATTTCAGGGCGAGGTAATAGATTTGTATCTTAAGGAAGATAAGAAGACGATGATCTTGATAAGCAGTTTCATGCAAGTTGGGGCAATCCTCTCAGCAATATTGGGCACTGAGCTATTTGTAGCTGGTGGGTGGGTATTAGTTGGTCTTGGTATAGCCTCCTTCAACATCTTCCCTCTTTTAGTATTTCCATTCCTAAAAAACATAGAGGTGAAAGAAAGTAATAAACAAAAAGTTGATTCCACCAATAAGGAGTCCCCAGAATTGACCGATCGAAGTAACAGCATCGGCCCTCAGTCTATTCCGCTTTGGTCACAAAAAATTGCATTCTACTTTCCCGATGTAGTCTTGTTCCTGAATAATGCGTTAAGTGATCTTATACGTTATTTGCTGCCTGCAAGGATCTTGTATTCCACCACCATGTCCCTTTCTTCAGCCGTACAATTAGTGCGCATCATGGGAATTGCCTCATTGATTTCTGCGTTAACATTGAGCCTTTTAGCTGGTAGAATCAAAACGCTTAATGTCATCACCACAATGGCGATAGGAAACATATTCTATCACTGTGGATCAGTAGTCGCATTTGGAGCCACTACAAGTGATTTCAAATTCTTTGACTTCACCAACCAATTGGTGATAGGATTGATTCTTATGGGTGGAGGGCATGCGTGTTATCTTAACCTGTATACCCCCACCAAGTTCTACCTTTACAAAAAGTGGAGTTTGGGCAACAGTAACCTCGGAGAACAATCTGCTAAGATCTTCAACATCGTTCTAAGCCTTTCTTCTGCTATGGGGACTATCGCATCAGCCCTGTCGTTGAATGAAGGGACTGAAATCCTAACTATAACTGCAATTTCCGGGCTTTGTGTATTTTTAACATTGGGACTATTTCTTTGTAACCTGGTTAAATAAATTTGGAGAACTTGTCGGGGTAAACGTTTCTTAGACACTGTTTTAAAGAATTTGACTTTATTTCATCCGATAATCAATCTTAAAAGATATAATACACACTAGTTTTATATATTTCATTGGATTCCAGGATAAATTATTATTTAGCATGATTACAACACACATAACTCCGACATGCGCAAGAATTATATTTTCGGCTTGGTGAATTTTTAACATTGGGTAAATTTCTTTGTAACATGATTAAATAAGTTCGGAGAACTTTTCGTGGTAGATGTGTCTATTTCATCCGATAATCAATCTTAAAAAGATATTACACACATTATTTCATTGGATTTTAAATCCAGGATAAATTATTATTTAGCATGATTACTATTGCATCACAAGACTTGATTTTAGAGACTCCGAATCTACTCGTTTTCATTATCAGCACACTCAAATAAATGAAGGAAAAATGAAAATGAAGACATTTTTTTGGAATGAAATAATGATTATTGAAACTTGGTTCTAATTCATGGCAGAATAATTGCTCAAAATATTTTTCACCATGGATCCAGTCTGATCAATTTTTGAGGTGATTTTTGGGATTATGGAAATTGAAACTCGTTTCTGTAGAAAAACGCCTGATACGAATTTATTCACAGATAATCCCATGATTTCCACAAACATTATTCCTAACTGTAAACACCCAAATCATCTCAACTGTAAGTGTAAACAGTGCTCTTTCGCTTCGCCAAGAATTATTCTTTAAAACCGTTAAATTGTACAGTGTACAGCAATATTGTACAATAAAGCAATGTTAGAACAAAGCATTAAAACAATTTCACTGGTTACAAATTAGCATAATTATAAAAAGATAAAGGTAGGTAAAACCCCTTTATCTTCAATGTTCTTCTCAGGACTCAGGGAACTCAGATAGCAAAACGTTTAATCTGCATTTTAGTAGTGATCCAGATTCCAGACGTCTTCAGATTCCAGTATAACAGGATAGAGGATAGTGATAACAGCAGCCTTGTAGATGCGGATATTGGTTGGTATTTTTATAGTTTTGTTGTTCCATGTATTCCAGAACTGGTGGAATGCACAATTGGCACGCCGGATCCTGATGTCAACATTTGGATCGATTTACCATCCCAACTGATGTTGGTACCCAGATAAAAATTGTTACTGACCTGCTTAACAGGGATTCCCCCTAGATTGAACGATATATAAATACATAACGTATTAATATCTATTATCCAAACTCATAGCAAAAACACGTATTTTTGCCCGTAAGAGCCTCTACTACAGGCGAAACGTAACTGTTTGCCCCGCCCCCCCCCACAAATTTGTTTCCGCGCCACCAAAATCTTTTTGGTTGTAAAAAAGGTCGGGCTTCCTTTTTGCCGCCTCAAACAGCTTTTTGCCGTCCCCTTTGGAGCAAAAGGACCCCAAATATTTTATTCACGTCGACTGAACTTTAAATTGGATGGGATAATACACAAATTGGGCGTTTTTGCTTTTGAGAAATACCTGAAATTCGAAAAAATACCGCCTTCCCCTCTCACCCGCATAGCAGGGGAAGCGGGCGCGGTCGTTTCTGTGGTGGATCCCAGAGCGAATATGGGAATAAGAGTGCTGAAGAGTGAAGAGTACTGCTGTTCTCAGAGACTTGTGTTTTAGTCTGACTGGAAGAGAGAAAACCAGGAGGATGAACGTTACGTTTGCCATGAAAACTGTTACATCTACTCATCTAGGATGTAGAACGCGATATTCTGCAACGGAGTTGCTTCTTTCTTTTTGGAATCAACAACTGAATACTGATGATTAATTTATAAAGTATGTATATTGCATTTCGACACGAACATCACTAAGGGAGACACACAAGGTTAGGCTTGAATCCTTCGTAAATAAACTACATTTGTAGAGCCTTTAAAACATTTTAGATAAGCACTCTATCAAGCAAAGTTGTATATTCATCATAATTTATTAACTCAAACGCATTAAGCATATATGCTATATTTAGTCTGGTCAATCATGCACATTGAACTGTAATTCATAGTAGAGTTTCTAACATTTTTTGGCCGCGCCCATTTTTATTATGTTCGTATATAATTATCTAAGCTTCTGAACTTCGTAGAGACTTTCGGGTTTTGTGAGTATCGCAAGATGGTAGCAGCATGGCCGGATGCTCATTGGACAAAGAACACTTTGTCTCGGAAGTAGTTACAGTTATTCGCCGATTCAACACGGTTTAAATGCACCGACATTTTGGACGGGAAATGTTTCCAACACTATTGTCATGTGCCATAAGCAATTGTAAAACTCCTGACGTAACTTGTGCCTTCGGCACTCGTTGGGTTAAGAGTTCTATAACCTACTATACCATAAGTAATCAGCAAGTCTTGCACGGTATAGTCATAACAGAGTAACAGAAACAATTGTGGATCTAATCTTTCCATGTCACCAAGGACACGATCACCAGTCCTTGCGAAAGTGCATAATTATTCAAATTATTCACTAGGTCAAAAAACTACAAACAAACAAATCTTCATTTTGAGAAGAAATTGTTATTTCAGAAATATTGTAGCTAAACAATTTCTTAAGCGCTTTGTGACATGACATGTGATTCGCTGTCCACGTGGTGTTAACTTACCAATCAGATCACTTTAAAGTAACATATACCTACTCCTAGTCGTCCAGCTGGACGGTTCTCCGCAGGACATATTTAATGCAATTTTTGGCCTTTTTTAGACTAATAATGAACCATAACTATATTTGCTTGTAATTTTTTTTAACAGATAGTTCAGGCGATAGGTAGTGTTCTACCAAATAAAAATTGTATTATTAGTCTTTATAATGAATCCTTATCATTATCTATATTGTATTTTAAACTTGACGAAAAATCCCCGGAAACAACATAAAACACAAAATATAGACAAAAACTGACCCTTCGATGTGGTCAATTTCAGCTCGAAAATAGAGTTGAAAACTCGCGATGTTTAGCAAGGTTACAGAAAAAGAATATCCATCTATTATAACATTTTCAGAAATTTGATTCAGGCTTTAAATTTTTTATAATTAACGTCGGAAGAGATAAATTGACGATAAAATATTAGCTTTATTTCATCACAATTTGACTGCAATTTTTTCACACTATAGATGATGAAGAGAAGTTAGAACATAACTGTTTAAAAAATACTCGAATAAAGCTTTCGACTATCAGGTTTTCTATAATTATTTTTATATTAATATAGCATGCAGGGCACAGCTTTTCAAGCTACTATCTTTATATTATTCGATAGTTTTAATAAAGCAAATAAGATAGTTTAATAATCCACCTATTTCATTAACTATCTTATCATGCTCTTCCCCAACAGTGTTGGGCCAACACCTCTACTAAGGCTGTTATTAAGCAAGGTTTTTAACAGTTTATCTGCCCAGAGAGGACGGAATTGAAAGCACTCCCACGGCCCACTTGTAAATTTTAACATTCATGCTAGAAATGCCATTATTTAGGAAACTTCAACCCTCTGTCTCTCTGATATACCCATTATGAAAACTGCCTGATATTTCTAAACTGATAATTGTAATTTCTCGGGTAATTTATTCACTTACCTTATCGGACCTTATTTGAACGGACATTAATTGAACGCTGGCTCAGTGGCTTAGTTGGTTAATCTGCTTGTCTACTGGCCCTGACGTTGCGAGTTTGAATTCCAGTTGGGCCAAGATTTCAAAATTGATGGGCAGCCGTCACTCACCAAACCATGGTGTGAATGGTAGTGGCTCTCATTAGAGCTGCGAAAATAACACTAGTGCATATGCATAACGTCATTAAACGTTGTCTGTTAATAATTATGTCCGTTCATTTGATGTCCTGCAAATAAGGTCCGATAAGGTACATTCGATCCGCGCCCCTTTTGTGTTCGTAAAATAGTTAAAATAGTTAAAAACTTGCAGTGATTGTAGCAAGATTCTCTTATTCAGCATGAGTTATTCCAGGGTCTCCTGTCGACAAACTTACATTATTTTAGCGCCCACGTGCTGCAACTTCACGGAGAATCAGCTACATTGTATCGTTAAAGTCATGACAGTAGAAATTTTAAACGAAAACTTGGTCATTGCAAATCCTGTTTTAAACGTTGAAGACTTCGGTGATTCTGAAAGTGAATCTGCTCAAAGCAAACATGGATGGCAAATATACGGTTAGCAAAATTGAAAGTATTTACATTACTTGCTGCAGTTTTTTAGTTAATTAAATAGAGTTAAATTATTATTATTTTTGCTATTGAATATGACATTTCCAAATCGAAATGATTTAAAATAAGCTGACGATAAATGGTAATTTCAGACTCTAGCCTGACATTGGAAGTTACTGTTTTTGGTGAAACTTTAGAAGGGAACGATGAGGACAAACCGGTGTCATCAGAAGACGAGGAACGTTCGGAGGGTAAATGTTTAGTTTCTGTTCTTTTCCGCTCACTAAAATATGAATACTCCGTAGTCCGTACGGTAACATAGAATTCACAATGCGAAAAGTTCAAGATTACATTTGTTCATAACCTTTGCAGAAATGACAACATACCATCGGATGACTATGATAGTGATATTTGCTTGCCTTGGAATGTACGTCGTATTTATGACCCGACTGTATCCGTCCGGATTTTATTTAGACTTCCTTAAACAATCTGGCTTCAGTACCATAATAGGTAAATGAGATCACAGTGCTGACAAGCACGACCGCCGCCATTATACTCACTATACTAATTACCCCCTATACTATTATACCCCCTTTACTGTTTTTCTGGCATTAAGACTTATCGAAAGAAGTTCAGCAGGCATATTTTAAGGTCAAAACATTTTAATTCAATGTCAAAGATGGCAGAAATGAAAAATAGTTATGTGGAGGTTTTTTAAAAATTTTCGCAAAATACGCGCCAGCACTGAGCACTGTTATACGAAATTCGGTTTAAAAACCCAAAGTCTCCATATTCAGGTGCTTGAAAAACTATGTTAAAATTAAGTTCTAGTTAGATATATAGAATTTTTGCAGGGCGTCTAGATGTCGGGAAGTAGGTTTTCTGAAACCTCTGTTTTGCAACAGATTGTATAACACAGTATAACTATAATATAGTAATATGTATATATGTATTTGACCAAAACCCATAATTGGGTAGAGTGGACCGCTGCCAGTGTCTCTCTTTCCAAAACATGAAAAGTAAATGATATTAATTTGAAAAACCGTCCGTAAATCCAAAATGGTACCGAGAATGAAATCGGTCGCCCGCTTTTCCCATTTATTCACGGCTTACGAATTGTAATTAGTTTCGATTAATTACATCAATCACATGCTGTCAAGATCTCTTTGGTTGCTTTCGGGTCGATACCTAGTATTTCGGGATAAGGGCGGTATAGTTAATGTCCAATTAGCTGATGTTTATTGAATCGTTATTGCCGAGTACAGCTGC